CCCAAGAGTTTGAGGTTGCTGTGAGCTGTGACACCACAGCAGTCTACTGAAGGCAACATAGTGAGAATGTCTCAAAAAAAAAGGCTCGGCACCTATAGCACAGGTGTTATGGGGCCAGCCACATGCACTGAGGGTGGCGGGTTCAAACCTGGCCCAGGCCAGCTAAACAACTGCAACAAAGTGGTGGGCACCTGTAATCTCAGCTACTTGGGAAGCTGAGGCAAGAGAATCTCTTAAGCCCAAGAATTTGAGGTTGCTGTGAAGCCACGGCACTCTACCCAGGGGGACATAAAATAAAAATTTTTTTTTTAAGTTGGAAAGTCATTGTAATAACTATTTAAAAAGAATTACAATAAATGACTTTTTAGATTTGGGGTACATATGTTAAGAATTAATTGTGTGTAAATTGAAATGTCTACACTGATGCTCAACACAATCAATAAAATCTCAATTATAAAAGAAAAAAATTGAAATTAGTGGGGCACAGTGATGTGTGCCTGTAGTTCCAGCTACTTGGGAAGCTGAAGTTGGAGGATCCTTGAGCCCAGGAGTTGGAGGTTATAGTGAGCTATGATCATGCCACTGAACTCCAACGTGGGTGAAAGAGTGAGACCCTGTCTCTTTAAAAAGGTCTAAGATTAATGAACCAAAAAAGGGCTATAAAAGAAAGTATTTGCCTTTAGGGCAGCAGTTCTCACCCTGTGGGTCACAACCCACAGGAACTGTATTAAAGGGCCCCGTGGCAGTAGGAAGGTTGAGAACCACTATTTTAGGAAATAGTGCTGGAAGTAGAAAAACTGTTTTTCATTATAATCCTTTTAGTACTATTAGACCAGTGATTTTTTTTCTTTTTTTTGTAGAGACAGAGTCTCACTTTATCGCCCTCAGTAAAGTGCTGTGCTGTCACAGCTCACAGCAACCTCAAACTCCTGGGCTTAGGTGATTCTCCTGCCTCAGCCTCCTGAGCAGCTGGGACAACAGGCGCCCGCCACAATGCCTGGCTATTTCTCTATTGAAGTTCGGGCGGGGCTGGGTTTGTGAAAGGGTGGCACAGTTTGAACTTGCCACCATTGGTATATGGGGCCTGTGCCCTACCCACTGAGCCACACCGCTGCCTCAGACCAGTGATTTTCAACTGCTGTGCCATGAGAGGATCTTAGGTATTCTGTGAAAATATTTAAAGATCATTAATGAAATTACTTTCTTTTTTTTTT